GGACAAAAATATAAGCTAGTTCTCTTTAATTATCTTTGTCATAGATGAGTCAACCTTCTTGTTTCTTTATGTTTTATATACCATTTTGTAGCTGTTGAAATTCTCTATCGAATGGTATATAATAGTTGAGGTTTTAGTTGACTATGATAGGAAAAGTCTTTTACGAACGTGGGGATGGGTAGACCTTTTCACAGGGAAGCTATAGGAAAAAATGGGTATTTTGGCAATAACTCAGGAATGGCTTGGCCGATCCTTTTCATCTTCGAACTCGACCGAGATATTGTAAAGACTGAACTGTACAGAAAATTTCATCGTGATCGGACTCTCCTTTCGAAAGTTATCGTGTAAACGGCCGGCCGGCCGGACATACTGACCGATTCTAGAGTGTACTCATTTTTTGAGTACACAAAAAGAAAAGTACATCTAGAAACCATTCTCAAATAGAGGTAGAATTGAAAAGTACATCAGTTTCAAAATAAAGAAGTCCACTAAACTTATATTTGATTGATGCAATAAGAGTTTCATATGAAGGCACGAGAAGTAGAATAGAAGAGCTAAATTCAAGTTCGAGATCAGAAAAGAACATCAAGAACAGTGGGCACAACAACAGCGGCACTAGCATATAATTTTCTCTGAATTATTTTAGAAACTTCTTTAAATAATTGAAACAAAGATAAGAAATCTTCAGAAGTTTCTTGATCGGCCGAGGAGAAGGCTTCATCAATTGGTTCCATTTTCAAACAGAACGCAAACTAAATTGTAACAGAAAAGTTCTATACGTTTTAAACTATTCAATATCGAGCAATCAAGTATCTCTTTGGATTCCAACTCTTGAGTACTGATTCCCGAGTACTTCGAGTAGCTTGCCAAGATCTGATTCAAAAAATGTTTCAGACGACAAAATGATGTATTAAGAAAGAAAAATTTAAAATAGAGCACGTCTAGACAATTTTTTCAACATTTCAATATATTGATGCTTTAATTTGACATTTTTATTTTCGACAATTTTATTTTTCGACATTTTTACTTTCGAACAAATTCAGGAGAACTGCACAGGCTACATCCACATCCACCCACCCTTAAAATATGATGTGCTCAGCCGAAACAACTGATTTTCTTTCGGTCTCAGTATTTATCAATATTATTGGTTGAAAGCTTACTCATCCATCACACATAAGTGATTTCTCACAATGGAAATATTTATCTTAGCAAAGGGAGAGTGTAGAAATTCTACAGACCTGCACCAACACATACGCTAACACACACATTCACATTCTGAAAACCAACCCTGGATTGCTTTATTTATATGCAATTGAATTTAAAAGTCGACTAGTGTTTTAATTGCTCCTGACAAAGCATGGATTAGAGTTGCTTCGAACAATCTAAAGTGGAACTATGAAAACCATCTGTAGTTCTCTTATCAAATAGTTTTTACAGAAAACTGTATAATGTTTGATAGTATTTTCAGAGTGAATTACTAATACCGATTCCATATGAAAGTCTCTCAAGACGAAGCAAAATTTAAAGAGTATCATCGAATATTCCTAGTTACATTGCTTAGAAAACACCAACATAAGTTTTAAATGTTCTGTTGTTGGAACCTGACGCTTTCTTTGTCGCTACTGTTGACTGAGAGAAAAGTCATAATAAACTGCACCACTGTTGAATCGATATCTAATTCATGTATCAACATACGCATATGCTCAGCAGTTAATACAACAAATAGTTAATATTGATAGCAAGCAGATTACTATGTTTTCTTAATTCTAATTTATCATCAATCACATTATTTTATGTTTATTAAGAAATTTCTTTCGAATTCTAAATTTAAATATTACAGACATAATTCTTTTCAAATCCATTTTGAATTCTTATTCATTTACCACTATTATGTATAATCTAGATCAAAAGTTCTTGCTGATAATTATTTTATTAAATGAAACTCATTGTAAATCATTTACTTTTACTTTAATACATCTTCTGTATTAGTTGACTTCATTCAAATTCCCCCCTATTTAATATGTGGGAAAATCCCTTAAATACAGATTAACCTGTTTAAATTCAAGAAATTTAATCAAAACAATTATTAAAAAAATGGCCTAATAACGAAAGTTAGAAAAGAATCACCAGCTGCTATAACTGTTAATATATCTTTTAGAACCTGTGAGGCAACTACGTCAATCAAGCAGGAAAAAAACACTTTAATCTTACGTTATCACCAAATGAAAGGAATTTAACAATGCGTCTTGCATTTCAAAACAAAAAATAGAAAAACAAGAAAAAGAAAACAGACGATAAAAAAAAATAAAAATAAAATTTGAACCTTATATATAGCCATTCATCTATTTCTATAGCATAACTTAGTCATGGTTCATATGAGATATCTATTCAGTTTCATTCTCTTACGTTTTATTTTTGCTACTCCACAAATCAATCTTCATTACACAGATTGGTTGAGTGATAGTGGAAGTAACACTGTATTACACTATGATTGCTTGCGTATTCCTGCTTCTAATAACGAAACAAATATTAATCATGAAGTTATATCTTATTGTATGAATGAATTATCATCAAAATTTCATATCGAAAACAATGATATCTTTCCAAAGTTAACTTTTGCTGAACTTGCGAAATTGAATATAACCAGTCAACAATTATATCTTTGGTCTGCACCGATCGATCTTATTGAACGCTATCAATTCTATTTAAATGAATTATTAACATCAAA